GTATGGAGTTTTATTCAAAACTCGATATGGGCACTAGCATTCACCACCATTTTCTCAGCCTGACAGGAGACTGCATCAAATGATTTCATCAGAAACTCTTCTAAGATGTAGGACATAGCTTCGTCTATTCGCCCTCCGAGTTCTTCCGGAGCCTTTGTTTCGTAGAGTAGTTCTGCTCTTTTTAACCAAGCCCAAGGAAAAAAGTCGTAGTATGTAGTCTGGACTTCTAATTTGCCACTCATGCCAGACCATGGCGATCCATCCATCTGTCAGGAAAATGGGCACTGCCCGCCCACGAGCAATGGCAGTAAAATAATGGATCCAAATAAAGCAACAAAATAGGTCTAATTTTCATAAATTGTGGAAAATTGGAAAAATCCGAAAAAAAAGTTACAACCTATGAGCAAATCATAAGCATTTTAAAATAGGAAGTTACTTTTCAATCGAACCATCCATTGCACTCCTGAATGCGTTAGGCACCAAATGGGGACCACTTTGGTTCTATAACTGACACAGCCTGCGTGGGTGTCGGGATTGCTGTTCTCAACCCCTGCTGCCGCAGTCGGCATGCTGCTGTTCCGCCCTTCGGCCCTCCTTTTATGTCTTCCATACTGAGCTTTGTATAGGAGTAAAACTGTTGTAGGCTGTTTTCCTTCAATTGTGGCTCTCTATTTCCTAAGAAAAAGAAAGTTTTGCTAAGAAGGCGATGATTGGATCCCATGTAAAAACACTGATACAGTAGTGCTACACCAGTTTAACAAAACCCTCGACTCATGATGATGTAATTTTTCTCGTTATGGAGCCCATCACTGGCAAACTTCCAATGTTGAAAGGAAGAATTCAGATGTTGTGAACTATGCCGATCATGATCATTTTTTTTTACTCAAGCAGACGCTCTATTCATTATATGGATACCGTGGGAACAAGTACAAAGTTCTTCAGACGTACTCTCCTTTTCCATTTTGGCGCTGAAGTCGCCATTGATAATCTTATAAAAAGTATGATCTTCTATGCTAAAGTTCTCTATATCCATATACTTCGACCGCTTTCTTCTTCGTCATACTTCCATTCTAGCAGGTAGACGATGATGTCGTTGATACCCCACTATTGAAAGAGACGTTGAGGAGCACAACAAACACTGCAAGGATGTTGAGCTACAAGCAAAAACCGAGATCCTGGGCTGGACGTTGAACATGGGAATACTTATTTTTGTTCTTATTGGGATTCACGTACGAGGCACCACACCAACTGAGGATCTTGCCTTCGGTCTTTCTCAGTCATATTTTTACTCTATCAATGTTATCAGCAGTCATTCATCAATGGGAATGATCTGGCGAGCACAAATCGGAATTGGACCTAGTTAATCTGAAGCTATAGTCAAAGTCACAATGTGTCAACTTTCTCTTAACTTTTATTCAATGCCTATTCTTTTTTCACAGCAAGGTACCGCGTGAAATACAACGAGAAGGACAGAGATATGAACAAACTCGGAACCCCAGGTTCAATACTGATTGAACTAGGTTCAAAGCTAATTTGTGCTTCCTAGTTCATTGTCGTTAACTATTGACTGCTAATAGCACCGACAGAGTATAAACGTGACTGAGAGAAAGGCAAAGCAGCTGGTTGGTGTGGTGGCTAGCAAGTGAGTTCTCGGTAGGGGTAACCGCGTGTTCGAAGCCCACTTAGGGTTCGCAGTCTTGCTCACATCTCAACATCCTTGTGGTTCTTTCCTTGGTACCCTGTCACAAAAAAAGGATAGAAGGTTAAAGGATAAAGCTCTCGGAGCTGATCAACCCCTTAGGGATCCGCATGCATTCGACTTCATTAAGTATCGCTTGGAGGTGATTTAATGCATATTTGGCCTATACAATAACTCGCGGTGGCCCACCGAATTTATCGAGCCAGTGCTGCTATCCTCCCAGAGAAGTCTATTACCAGTTTTCTGATCCCGAAAGGGTAATCGATCCCATGTGTATTGCAGGGCGCCTCCGTCCACTGCCCCACACGCTACCATTTGAAAAAGGAATAAACAGAAAGTAAAAGTTAAGACATAAAATACTGTACTCAACACACAGAATTCAGAGATAAAACACTACTGGAACCGAGCAACAATAATGATCAACATCTGGAAGAAAACCCACTTAAGCACCTCATGAAAAACGTCACACTGCAAAAAAAGGGCACCGCTAATATGTTTCCGTGCTCATTAGTGCTTTTTCACTGAACTACAGTTAGGAAGTGACCTCGGGGGCGTAATTAGCAAAACTGCGATACCGAATGGAGGGTTACAAGGTAGTAAGGTATCCTAATCAAGTATGAATCTTCCTTAAAATTTATGCCACGGCGGAGCCCAGTGAGCCATCGGTAGCAACGGGCTCATCAAAGGTATAAAACATAGAGCCAAAGCCCGAAAGTGTAAGGTTTCTTCATGTGAACTGAGTCAACTATTAAACTGAGACATGTGACACGACATGTGATATTGGTTCATACGCACAGTATCAAATTTCACAAAACGTCTTCAAAGTTGACAACCTTAAATTTGCTCCATGAACTTACCCTGACACTTCAATAAGCCGCCTTCATGGAGAACCGCACTCGCTTGGTCAGAGTTCCCGTATAATTACTACCTTGCTATTTTGAATTTTCACCGGAATGTCGAAAAATCCATTCCAGAGCATTTTCAGGTTACCTTGCAAACTTAATTAGGGGCACTTTTGGACTGGATGGAGTTTCGCCACCTCGCATCTGGGTTATTTTAAAAGCGAATGCTATTTCTGACATTTGGGCATTGGGCTTGTGGATGGAAACGCCGAAGTACTTGCGTCAGGTGACAGTGGTTGTCTATAGTCCTCAGGGATACAATGATGGATTGAATTCGCTCTGTAGGGCGTTTCTACGCTTCCATTTGATTGCATCTATTTTAAGGAGTGAGTGCGGTCCAGAGAAATCTCTTGCAAATTTTCCAATCCGACAGGGTGGGAAGGCTTGGTTAGCATTGGGACGGGCTCAAATCAGCATCGTGCTCGTTAAGAAATGTATTATTGCATTATGCCACCCTCCTTCTTAGTTACAGTTTAGGCTACTGTATAAAAATCTGGGAAAACTCGAGAAAGGATGACGAATTTCACTAACGATGACCACTAAAAGGAATTCGCTTGAAGCATATTCATGGATATTGGCTCGAGCCTTTGCAAAACGACATGATATAGTATGGAAACAATTCTAAAGCACCTCAACCGAATTGGAGAGAGAAGTTGGGAGAATCCTACAACTTTTGTAAGACCTTTGCGGTTTGGCTTTGTTTGATCTCGGTATAATAGTCAATAGTAAGGGGCAGATAGCACAGTAGTAGCGATGCCCGTGATCACGACCATGGTTCTAGTTCGATTCCGTTCTGGGCCTACCAAGCCTCTCATCCTTTCGGAGTAGGGAAATTGGTACCGGACTTGTCTAGGAAAAAATCATAATCCAGTTGGGAACGCTCCATACCGGCTATCTCAGAACTCCAGGAAGAATTGCTCGACCAACATTCTACGACATACAAGATGAAATGAAAATCTTCAAGCAGCAACCAAAGCCACACATAAAGCCGGATTCGAGGATGATGGATGTGAGGAAACGTATTGACTGTGAGAAGTGCTGGGATCAACAGAGTAGACGTGAAGATGGGTGAAAATAAAATAGGGAAAAAAATTAATAGTCAGTGTTTTTTTCATTGAAAGGTTTACACAAAGTTATTGCGAAGGAGTCTTTATTATGACGGTGTCTTGGTATTCTTCAGAGCCGAAACGACATATTGTAGTTGTTCACAGTGGTTCATTCCTGCGATGGGCCTCCGTAGTCGCACCTATAGAATCCGGTGAAGTGGAGCACCACCTCAAGTGAAGTAACATTCGGCAGTGCTCTTTTGTACAGGACGTTCCTCATTTGATACATTCGTCACTGACGATAAACTGCTTTCAGGAGGACAACCCATCTTTTAGCAGTCGGTGTCAGACAAACTTGTATACAAACTTCTAAAAATTCTCATTCGTGACCAAAAACGCTCTGGTCGTTTTTCCGGATTTTCCCACACGGCTAAAGGTACACTATACACTAGTTGATAAGGCCCAATTTGAAAGTGGCAATATCATTTTACTTTTTTTAATGATCTGGAGCCTCAACCGTGATAAAAAATGGGATTAAAACGTGATAGTGCAATACTACCGATTTAGCAATTTACTCGTAAACTACGGCTAGATAAACTGTGATGTTCGCACTAAGTTCACCGTTTATTCTGTGAAGAAGAAGAAGGAAAAGGAGAAGTTAGCTGATGTCCTCATGCAAACCGTGGTTATCGATTTCCGCCGAAGCATTACTATCGACCTTCGCACTGGAGTTGAGGAGTGTCTCAATTGAAAATATCCACTAAGGCTGATGGACCAATCATGGCAACTACAGCGCTGTACCTATGCTTGTTGAATTGTTGTCCGGAAGTTCATGTTTTTTTTTGTAATTCTATGGATTTCTTTGGGTTTTATCTGGAATAAAACATGACTGAACATTATAGCTTGCATGAATGACCTGTCCATTTCACACTCTTCCTTTGTTTACAATTTTTTGCCACATGAAAAACTTGACAGGGAGTTTTGGCGGTGGCACATGCACTGCTATTCGTGGCACATATGTGAGATCAATCATAGGCTACAGTGACTTTTAACTTATTCATTCTAGGCAGCAACACCTCGCTTTGAATACAATCGATCGACAATCGACCGCAATATAGTCGAAAAGAAGAAAATCCATGAAAACACGAAGAGTCATGACAATATAGAATTTGAGATCATGCGTTGAGATTCACGAGCACGCCATTCTGCAACACAGTAGTGCGGCCTAGACGTAGAAAATGTGGGACGGGAAGCACTTCGAACGATGAAGACGATTTGATGGTGACTGCGACAAAGGCTACGAGCAAATGTCCAGGAGCGAGACTTCCGGGACACTGTGGGCGCTGTGCTAGTCTACTTCCTTTGCTCGTCGGCCGACACAGAAACGAGCTTCGTGGCCGACTGCGGCACATTGTCACGAAGCCACATGATTGACGCTGTCAGGTCGTCGATGACTTCATCTAAAATGCTTGCATATGCGTCGAATAACAAGTGATATTATACAATACCGTAGCATTTCTGAGCAATGAAATGTTCAACCTAACTAGAAAATTCAGAGGTGGACAAAATTTTTACAATGTTCCATTTGTTTGTTCATGCAGTGGTTTCATTCAATTTATTTACGGTAAAATCGCCACTGCTCGTTGACGTCAGAACCACAGTTTTAAAGAATTTTATACATACGCTGTCGCAACCACTAATGGAAGAGGAACGGTAGCCAGATTTTCAAATCACTACCATTTTATGAGCCTGTAATAGCCAAGAAGTCTTACCATTCGGATGTAATATTGTATCTGTGCATTAGAGAAATCTACTAGAACAAGCCATAATAGATCTCTCGGTACCGCTGGCGTATCACCAATCTGGGCGTATTCCCAATTAACAGCGGTGAGAAATAAAACATTCAGTACAGTCCCAAGGCTTCATATAACGACATAACGACTCCTACGAAGCTTCAACGCAATCTATCCATTATTGTATTGTATTATATCTTCTTTTTCAGCAAATGGAAAATTAGTGCCAGATATATCCGGGAACATCTGGCGACTGCCTGAGATGAACACTGCGAAACCCTCTAGTAGAACTAACCCAGGATTTTAAGAAAACGTGTTTAATCAGATTTCCAAAACACTCATGGAGAAGACAAAATCCTTAAGTGACAGACTGACCCACAAAGAGAAATCCAATGGTCACAGTGGAGTATGAATGCGATGAAATGAACCGAAAACGATGTGCTAGATTCTGCACAAAATGTGATGTCATATCATGTGAAATAAAAATGAGAAGCAAAAATGGTGGAAATTCTCAGAAAACGAATCCACTTGAAAAGCACATTCAAAATGAGCGTACTGCTCCAATATCCCCATCGATACTCCCATAATACCCATACAGTTGCATCTTATGAATATCGTAATAGAGCGTTCTTAATTGTTTAGTTTCCACTATGGTAAATGTTGCTGGTTGTCGGACTACAATGGACATCAGGAGGTTCACGCTGCTCATGATCGTCTAAATGGAGTAGCCTGACGTTTCCATCAGGAAGTTCAGCTCAAAGAAAACCAATGTCACGGCGAACACAGGCAAGCTAACCGTCGGTCTCGTTTAAACCGAAGAGAAGAAAATTAATGAGCTCACGCGAAAAGTGTGATGATCTTGTATTCCTTGAGCGGGCGAAGTCTACCGAGCTGTTCAAAGGTGCGATATGAGGAAACGTAAGCCTTACTGTTGCCCACTAAACTTCTTTGATGATTAACAAGACCACATATGAGCCAGGTGAACCAGTAATTGTTTTCGATAAATGTTAAAGAGTAACGCTACTATGAAAAAAGAAGTCTGTGAGACCAAAATGATTTCCATAGAAAAATCGGCAGATTTTCATGTTGGTGAAGAGTGAAGAATTCTAATAAAATCTTTGAAAATATTGCCTTCGAAATATGTTTTGGGTTCAATGTCCAAGTAAGGACAAACCTCGTGTTGGGTACGACTCCATGGACCTCTTTATGAGACCGAATTCAGTGGCGCTGAGGCGATCAAACACACGTTTCTTTCGCAAACCGAAGTCGGCGATTGACAACCGGTCGAACGCCCGTTTCTTACGAAGACCCTCGAAGCCGAACTCAGCACGGGCTATTCTGTCGAAGGCGCGCTTCTTTCGGAAGCCAAAGTCGGCCATGTCAAGTCTGCAATAGAAACGTCCAGAAAGTTGCTCAGCAGTTAGCGAATGTGGGAGTGGAAAAGGTAAGAGAGTGGAGAACCTGTCGAATGCACGTTTGGCAGGAGCGCGCTTGAACAAGCCGAAGTCATTGCTTTCTACACGATCGAATGCTCGCTTCGTCGGTTGGGCGCTGGAGTAATCCACCATCTCTCTAAAAAATCGTCCATCATTCATTGCGAACGGACTCTTCACAACATCGTTCATTGAGTGGGCACAGTTCTCCTGCTATGTTAGGACCTGGATCCTTTCGCTGTAAAAAAACGCTTTCCCAACCTAAATAATTCTTAGCACAACTTTCAGAAGTATGTTCACTAAGCAACGATAAAAAGCGAATAGAGCCTAAACTTCTCTAGAACGTTGGAGATATTATGGGTTGTTATAAAGTTGCGCAAAATCGATCTACAAGAGAAGAACAATGTGTGTGTTCTTGTAAAAGAACCATAAGGGGAGGAAGGTAAGAGAGCCTTATTCGAGGTAGCATTTTTTCACATTCATGCCTGGTTAGTTATGTAATACATCAACAGCATAAACAACTCCATTTTTGCATAATTCATGAGAAAGGTGTTGACATTTGAAACACGGAAATTAACCAACAATAGGGTGCATTTCTCCTTACCAATTCATTTTTCAACAAAATGACCAGCTGCTCATTCCAGTTATGCCTTTCAAATCGTTTCTTTGCAAACTGACAGTTACATAACGATGCTGAGATATTCGCAAAACTTGGACCCTGGGCCAAATCGAACCACGACTTCCTTTCAGGGGTCTCGCGCATTACACACTGCACCCCTGAGGCCCTTGCTTTGCGAATCTCTCAGCTAGTTAGTTTGCTACCTAACACCACCATCAGCATTCACTCGTCAACGAGATAACGGTTATATAGCATGAAGCAGAGGGCAGAAGTGTTTCATAGTTAGAAAATGCACTCACGACAGATCATAGCTAGGCACCACATAAGGATAAGTCGAGCACGTCGTCAATAAAACAATCTGAAATTTAGAGTGATGAAGAAGAGCTCACTCCAGTCATGACCGAATACACCCACCTCAAACAAAACGATCTGTAGTAATGGAAAGATGCACTGCGCCATCTATTTACCCTATTTATTATCTGTAAATCCGAAATAGTTAAATTTCAACACTATTGAAATTGCACAAATAAACGTGCTATCATCGCGAGATCAGCAATTAATTAATGGAAAAGCTGTCGTATAAAGCAGCAGATTCGGCAGTAAGAAAATAATAGAGTATAGTGTTATATTTACCATTGAGGCAATTCTTATGCGTGACAAGAAATTCAGCTGTAAATTACTCCTGATGGTGCTGACACAATGAACACAGGCGGATGAAGCAGGAAAAGAAGAGCAACGATGAAAAGGATTTTTGGTGATAACCTCAGAGCGATTGAATGAGTTGAGCCGTTCTCTTAGTAACTTTAATCTCCTGAGAGGAACTGGAACGCTACCAAGAATTACGGGCTCAGACATAGCTTTCAAAATAAATTCTATTTTCACTGTAACGAAGAAGTTGACATCACCGTGAGTTCTGTTCAGGCGACGAGCAACAAATGGTTTTGACTTTTCATTAAAGGAAGTTTTTGGTCATGTGGCGAGCGACACGTGCCAGAAGTGCACGAATGAGCAAATTCGCGAAGAAATGCGTTCGCCGACGTGCTCCGAATGAAGAATGATGCTTCTGAAGACAGAATACTTTCCAGTTCTTACTCCGCCTCATCCATATTTATACTTGTGAGAAACTTATTGAACATCTTCCATGCTGAGGTGTAGAAAGAGCAGAATGGAATGCTTTTGATGTAGACCTCGTTCGTTGTCTTCAGTCGAGGAAAGTAAAATTTAAAGAGTGACAACAGAATTGTAAAAGAAAGCTTCTAAATCGACAATTCTTCTAAAGCGCTTACTCTCGAACGAAACAGCATAAAATACTAAAATTTACTTTTGTTTATTATTTTATTTTATCTTATTTTATTTCGTTTTACTTGATCCGTCTTCACGCCTACTGTACGGATCTCAGCACTTCTCGCATTCATCGTCCACGAAGATCTTCCAATTATTACTTGTGGCTTCCGTTACTGCTTGAGGATTTCCATTACATTTTGGATGTCGTTGGTGACCGAGCAATTCTCTTTAGAGTCCTGAGATAGCCAGGCTGGAGGAGAGTTCCCAATTGGATTGCAGAGAGCGTTTTTTCTCAGATAACTTCGGTATCAATTTCACAACTCTATGGGCGATGAGAGGCTTGGTTAGCCCGGAACGGAATCGAACTAGCACCATGCTCGTGATGACGGACATCACTACCACTGTGCTACCCGCTCCATAAAATGGTAAGATAGAATAAGAATATCATAAAAAAAGAACTTTTAAAAATTTGAAGCACGAGACGACTCAAAACTTGTATGGGACCGTCTGCGAGCGGGCGTGTTGCTGAATACCCTGACGAACTGACGCAGTTCGACGTAGCTGCTGAACGTCAATCCCAACGAGCATTCATTTATTGCAGAAAACCATCCATCGCAATACAGTAATCCACCCGGAAGATTGTTGTCTTAATATTTCCCATAATGAAAAATTAACTGATGGAATTGCAAAATAAAAACCAGCAAAATTCTCCGCCGCAATTAATTCTAACCATTTTCAATTCCTGTTCTTCTTCAAGAGGTTTATGAACTAAGAAAAATAAGCAAAATAATAGGAAAATAAATAAAAAATAAGAAATAAAAAAGAAAAGAAATAAGAAAATGCCAGCTAATGAGTAAATAAGTAAGCAGTAAGTGGTGTATAAATGAACGCATTGAATAGTCATTGCAATGAAGAGGAAGGTATTCATTGCGAAAAGCCTAAGTCGGAATGAGAAGCGGAATTGGCGAAATCCAATTAACCTCTCAAAAGAGAAATTTGTCAAGCAATAGAGAAGACAAAAAAAGATGAGGAAGTTCCCTAAATTGGCATCTTATGTGCTTCAAGTCAAATAACTTCAAGTGTTCTCTCTACTCGGTACGACTTGCGGTATCGCGAAGGAGTTTTAGAAGACGTTAGCAGAAATGCTAGGGGTGAGTGATGAAGGAAATGAAGAACACATTAAGATTATTCGCTGCGTAGGAGCTTAAGGTCGTATGTTTATGGAATCAAAATTTTATCAATGAAGAACGTTTGAAACTTTTTACACAGCATTTCAAAACCGACTTTCATTTAACCTCGGTATGTCTAATCAATAATTATTCTTTCTTTGCTAGGCTTACACGAGGTTGGTAAATAAATTGATTTCGATTAACGTTTCGTCGTCTTTCACTTTCTACACAGCAACATTTATCCTTTCACCGGACAACTTATAGTCCCTTTGGAATACGGAGCGCGCGCACGAAAAGTCATCTGTCACGGTTCAAACACCTACATGTTGCTTAGTTCTACGAGGCTATCAGTTAAGCAATTTCCGTTGATCTTAGAGTTGAGGGGAATCTTAGTGAGTGATCCCAAAGCAAAACTAACCAATGCTTTTAACACTTCTATACAACGTGGTTCTATACTTCTGTTAGTATTTACATACCCATTTAATGAACAAATTACGAATAATAAATTGCTACAAAGAACATAACTTGGAACGTGCTTGGCACTGAAAAGAAAAAGGAGGGAAGATGAACGGAATGACAAAATCGTGGAAATAAGGAGAAAATCATCGTGAGAAATGGACGGCGATAACCAGAGAACCGATATAACCACGTCGAAGAGCTTCATTACATTATTTTGAATAATTGCTATAAAATCCATTCCACTACGAAAACATAAAAAAAACTGAGAAAAAAGAAAGTAGTGTGAAAAACGTGTAGAAAATATTGGACGTGAAACTGATTTGGTCATGAAGCTACGAGCGAAAGCACTCAAAACTCTCACTGAGTTATTCTGCACTGAGTTTAGAGAAAACTGAAAAAGGTATGTTCGATACGTTTAGCATTTTTTCATCACCAGAGCGAGTGAATTTCCAGAGTAGCTGGAATTATAAGCTCAAAAGGGATCTTGAAGAAGTCATTATAACTACAACACAAGCACAGGCAAGCTACTGAACACCTCTGGCCTTTTGAGGTGTTGATGTCGAAGAAATTCTGTAGCTTATTATAGCAGTGTCCACTCGATATATATAAAAATATATATATATATATATGTATGCATACATATATATGGGTGGATGTGTCTATAACTAAAATTAATCAGTTTATAAGATCATATAAATAAATATATCAACTATCTATGCCGAGGTTTACAAAAAGTCGGTCTTTTGAATTATTAAAATCAATCAGCTGCACGTGGAGCTGCTGATGTTTTAGAGATCACGGTGTGAGATTGGCACGGGCCACTATGATCGACTTCAACCACCACCATGGACGACGAATGCAAAATGTGCTGGCGTCCACACTACTCGTAAAAATAAGCCGTCCAAGGGTCCAAGTACAAGGCTAAGTATATGTATATGTATATGTATATATATATATATTTTCATATACGTGGAATGCCACGGATCTCTCTCATATGAGGGATCACGAGCCGCTTAGCCGCGAGGCTACGTGGCGCGTCTCCAGGTGGCGGATAGGGGGTTAATCGCAGACCAAGAGCGACCTTTGCTTCCCTGAGACGCAGGTGGATCCAGGAGATGGACTCCCTGTTTCTACTGCGCTGATTTGGCACATGCTTTCTGTACTTGCTAGGCGTATTCATGCATGCGTGTGTGGGTGCGTTCTCGCTTATGCGGATTGTATTCTACGAGTCAATTCGGTCAAAAGACTGCAATCAAGTGACTGAGAAGTATATGGGAGGTGGTTAGGAGTCGCCTCCAACAAATAAGTACCATGTCCACTCTAGGAGACAAGCTACCCGTTAGTATACTATGCTCCTACGTTCAGAGCCCAGCAAGCTATACATGGGTATCAAAAATGCTAAACAGTGAAAAAACGAGCCTCATTTCCCTGACCCCGAAAGAGCCCCCAATTCGGCAATGTTGGGTAGGATGAGTACGGAGAGGCTGCTAAAATCTCAGGGCCAACGGAAGCAGCCTGGATTTCAAAAAACTATGGTGACGATCTGTACCTGCAATGAACGTACACTTGCATCCGAGTCCTCGATAGAAGTCTTCCTCATGCAAGCAAGAAGGATAAAGTATGATGTCATCGGCCTGGTCGAGACGAGTCGACATCACTCA